CAAATTAGTGATCAAAACTATGGAAATTTGAAGACATGCAGCACTCATTTGCGACGGTTGCTCGTAAAAAAGTAAACAAAGCCTTCTATTGGTTTGAAAACACCAGCTGTGTTGTACCAAGCGAGCTTATAGCCATACACGGCGAAGGCATAAGCAAAAAAAAAAATATAAAAAAATGCAAAATGCAGAAGAAACGAAGAACAAGCAAAAGTTCACTTGACCATGCCATTAGCGGGTAGACAGAATGCAATTAGGCATTGCAACATTGCAACTGTAGTGTAGAATATGTGCAATAGTGTGAGGGGTATGAGGTGAGCGAGCTATGTAGCTAATAGTCTGCAGGTGCTACTTTTATGCTTATTTATGTTTTGTTTAATATGTGCTACAACAAAGCTTAAAGGTATAGCTTAAAATAAAATAAAATTATTTACAAATTTATTTGGGTTGAAGAAGGAATGGGCAAGGAAATACTTATGGAAGAAACTAAAAAGAAGATATGAATAAATGGGTAAGACCGGGATTGTACACACAATATGTACCTTAGAGTGTATCACGATGTAAGGGGCGAAAAAAGTACAATTAGTTCCAAGCGATTTTGAACATTCGCTAGGAGAGTATTTCAGAAAATTAACAAAAAAAATGTTTTTTCGGCACCCTGTAACAAGTAATCCGTCGTTGTGTAATATATTTCAATATCTCTACAATGGTAAATCATTTATAGGAATCGGACCGAAGTATGAAGAAGTTAGAAAACAATTTTTTTTTTATACTTCTAAAATACTATCATAGTGAGTGCTCAAAATCGCTTGGACAAATTAAACTTTTTTGTACTACGGTCTAATGTATATACATTAGGATGCATCAATCTCAATACAAAAAAACCTGTAACGTTTATCCATCGGAATTATAAAATTTTTTATATTTAACGACTTCCGCCAAAGTATTTCGAAATTAGATTTAACTTTTAAAAATAATTTTTCCTAAAATTACCTCAGATGATAGAAGATCAAAAATACACAAAAATATTTAAAAATTGTATCAATAGAAGCAAGAGGTATTTGGTACAGCTCATAGAAGTTTTAATATTTTCCCAAATATTTTGGCGGCGATCTTAAAATACATATAATACACTTTACAATTGCGATGAAAAACCGCAACTTTTTTTGTGAAGCACCATAATGTCTACACATAACTTTCGCATAGAGCTGAAAAATGTTCACAAGTTTTTCCAAAAAACTTCCCTAATTTAAAAAGTATGATTGGGGGCAAATATCTCATTTTATTAACAGTAATTAAAGTATATAATTTCATTAAATTTTACTTAGAAACTGCTACGCTTACTGACTAATTTAGACCTTCTCTGCACTTTTAGTTCGCATGAAAGATTTTGAAGTATTCTATCTTACTGCAAATTAAATACAAATGAAGAGAGCACATCTCTAATCGAAAGCACTTCAACATCGCTAGCACTAAAGCACATACATATGTAAATACATTTCAGATGCTTTTATAAACAGTCGACATGGCGTAGCTAAGGGAGTATACAATATAACGCATGCCACGGCGTATACGCAACTATAAAAAGCGATAAAATGGAACGATGGATGCCTATCCCATCAAATAGTATACATATGTATGTACAGACTATACATGTACAAGTATTATATTTAATAAGATTTTCTGCCATCAAAGCTGCACAAAGGATTGTCATAAATATTGACTGAAAGGTGTTAAATGGCGGCGTTACACAAAAAGGCAACAATAACTAAAACTATGTAAATAAAAAGGTACAAAGGCGAAAGGCACTCAGTTGCAGCAACAAACGCAACATGAAATGAAGTGGAACTCAAAACCACTCATAGTTGAAAGCAGAGCAGACGCTAGTGTCCAAAACTCGCTTAGTTCGTAGCACAAAGCCAATGCGCTTGACAAAAACAAAAGAAAAATGTATGTATGTAATGCGCCCAAATTTCCAAGGAGGCGACATCAAAGTTATGCGAAAACGAAATAAAAACAACAAAACTGCTCGACAAGTCAGAAAAACAGCCGCGCAGAAACAAAAGCTAGAAACTGAAAGTGCACTTGTGAACCGTTATGGTGACAGAAATGCAATAACTGTAGTCGTATAGTCGTCGTTGGCAGCAAAAAGATCTGTCACGAATTTGAGGTAGCCATCAAAAGCAGCACTTTACCAAAGTACGCAAGTGCCGCAGCAGCAGCAAAGCGGCGTCAACCTGGGCACTTCAAGCAAGAAATAACGAAATATTATACATATGTAGGTGGTTTGTATAAGAAAGAGTGGGAGCACACGGCAGTGCACGCTACGCCAGGTCTTAAACTGAAATTCAAATAAACGGTGGCAGAAATTGTAATCAAAACTGTAACCAAAACTACAGAGCAACTTAAATCGACAGCAAGTAGATGTAACTGGGAATGAAGTATGTAATATATGCATATTAGGGTGCCCATCGAAAATGTTTTTTTTTTGGAAATTTCAAGACCCTACCCCCTGATTTTATTCGTTACAATTCCAATTCAGAATTTCCATTTCAAATTCCGAAAGTTACAATTCAAATTCAGAAATTTCCAATTTAAGTTCAGAAAATTTATATTCATTGTGCGATATAAAGAATTTAGGTTGCATAGTAGAAGCGACTGTGTCACAAAGTTTTCAATTTAGTTTTATTCAGTACTACATAGCAGAGCAGCCGACGTCGTTCGGGGGAAAAAAGCAAAATACAAAACAGTAATAGAAATATTCAGTTCAGCATAAATTAAAAGAGACATACAGCCCAATTCTGAATACTCCCAAGGAGTTCGATCTCCGGGAATTTGTTTCTCCCGAGAAAGAAATCCTTCAATTATTAACTCCCAGAAAGTAGCATTTCCCCGAAAATTTGGAAGGAGAAAATTGAAATTCTGAATTGGAATTGTAACTTTCTGAATTTGAACTGGAAATTCTGAATTTGAATTGGAACTGGAAATTCTGAATTTGAATTACAATTTTCTGAATTTGAATTGGAAATTCTGAATTTGAATTGTAATTTTCTGAATTTTAAATAAAAATTCTGAATTTGAAATGGAAATTCTGATTTTGAATTGTAACTTTCTGAATTTAAATTGCAACTTTCTGAACTAAAACTGAAAAAGCTGTAGAAGAAGGAATGGAAAAGAGTGGCCACTGAAAAAGACCACAAAGAGCAAGAAAGCACATCAACTTTCGCTGACTTTTGGTTTTTGGAGGAGTTGGTTTTTCTTGTTTCCCTTTGTCGACGGGCTAAAAAAGCTAAAAGCTTTTAAAGAGGGGCAATGGGCGGTACTTTACAGCCAGTTGGTTAGATGAAGAAGACAGTTGGATGGACAGCCTAACTGACTGCACAAGCAAGCAACTGCAGACCCTTCAACACCACCCACTCGCACATCCTCTTTAAAAAGTAGGGATGACAATGAGTTTGCAGCGCGCGTTTTACTGACTACTTGAATGTCTGTTTGAGTGACCGCTGCACTGACAGTTTGACCGACGACGACATGCACCCTGTCTTCACTTTTTTCTTTTAGTGCTTTTGGGTGAGTATTCTATGCTTTCCCCTTCCTCTCCACCTTCTTCTGGTTAGACCAGCTCAACGGCAGATTGCTGAGTAGCGCCTGGAAGTATGGCATCGCGAGTAGAATATTGGTGCTACGGCCACCACTGGTGGCGCTTGTACTGCCGTGCAAAAAAGTACAAAATGTAAATGAGAAGACAAAAAAAAATATCGAAACAACGCTTCAATTGCTCAAAAGTCATAAAAGATAAACCAACGACAGACAAAAAAACAACGAGCGCATAAATTTCGTTGTCCACAAACAATGAAAACAGTAAAATGAAAGGAGTAAAAAAAATGTGTACAATTTTATATTTGAACGATGACAATATTACGACAAACGAATTACTCTTGTTGTCAATGCAATCGTTGCAGCAATCTCCCTTTTACTGCAAGGACCCACGCCGACGCTTTAAAGGATACACGCTTGCTCTCTGCGCACATACAAGTGGAATAACTGGATTGGGAAATCTTATTAGGAACGCTATCCAGCATTCGCACATTTAGCCAGCAATACATACGTACAAGTACAAATGCATATTAGGGTGTATCACTATCCATAAAAAAGTCGGTACTGTTTTTCATCGAAGTTGTAACAGGTTAACTCGAGCTGGATCGATTTGAAAATACCTCCAAAAATCTATTTTTTATAAATAAAATATGATTAAATTTTTTTTTTTCCAAACCTCACTCCAGAATTTAACATTAAAAGATCTGCATGAAAATGTTTAAAAATTGTATCAATGGATTAAAAAAATTAAAAAATTCAGCTCTCAGTTTTTTTCCATAAGTCTTAAAATATAATAAAATTTATTATTCCGGTGGAAAACCCGCAGCTGTTTTTGCCGAGGCGCCCTAATGCACATATATACACACGCATATATGTTCACATGCAGGAGCACCCCAACGCAAGCGGCAAGAGAGAGAGCATACATGCTTTGGGATTCGCTTGCAACTGCAGGGCAGCTGGCATGCAGCAAACGATGGGGAAAACTATCAAATTAAGAAAAGTTGATAAACATTGTTGTGGTCACAATATACGCAGCAAACACTGCCGAGATACTGCATCGGAGGAGAGTCAACGCAGCTGGCTGGTTATTAAGAAGGGCTCTCCTGTTGCTTTCTTCGTTCTGTGCAAACAAACTATCAAACCATATACCAAGTAAAACCCGCCTTTGGTCGGACAATTTCGTACGCCATTAAGTGCATGCACATACGCGCACAAGGGTTTCAGCAGTCAAATAACAGCAGTAAGCAGCAAGCTACCACAACTAGGAACTGATTTGCCAAACTATAGGCATCTTGTTGCATTAGGATTGCTTTGGATAATAGAAATGAGGTCGCGTCCAGTTGACGATGCTCTCCTCTATATTTATAGCTATGTAGTTTAAAGTAAATCTAAAAGCAGTCGCTCACCTCATTCTCCATTATGTTGCTGTCCACATTTTGTGCCTCATCGGTTTTCCATTTTGTTGTTTGCGGCGTGTGGTTTGTGAGCTGTAAATAAAAAAAAGAATAAAAATAAATTAAATTAAATGAGTCAGTGGGATCGTCGGTTCGAATCCTACTGAAAGAAGTCTGATGAAGTCTACCATTTTTTCAAATTATTGTTGCTTTTCCACAATAAGTTTTTCATTAAAAAGCGGCCTCAAGCTCAATAAAAATTGTTGAAAATCTATGTATGTATGTATGTAAATCCCAATTTCTGAATACATACATACGCTGCCGGAAAAAAGTATTGGCACAGCGAATTTTGCACAACATATGCACCAATTTCTATTCTAATAATTTCCGCTAATTTTTTATAAAAATATGGTTTGTTCTACAACAGCCAGTTCTGGTTGCTGAACTATCAAATTTTGATTATCGCTAACTCTACAGCAACTGTTAAATTATTTAGTAATAAATGCCTTCAGATCCACAGCATTCGTTCGATTTTCAAAAGTGAGGTGTTTACTTTTTCGAAAAGAGTTGCCATCAGTTAAGAAATTAGGCTCAAATTATTTAAAAAGTTAATGGTTTCGAAAAGGTTTATATCTTAACTACGTGTAGGAGGGTTGTCACATGTTTAAAAAATGTAATTCAATTTTAATTAAAGGGATTTGGTAAGTGAATAAGATAACACTATATGGGTGTCAGACAAAAGAGGTTAAGAAGGTAGTAGGTCAAACTAAATTATTTTATACCAAAGTTACATGCAATATTAAGACTGGATTTCAAGTGAAAAAGTTTTAAGAAATATTTAGTTTGACAATCCAGAATGTTTTTGATGTGTTTGAGAGTTGCCGCAGTTTAAAAGGTTAAATTAAAATTATTTAATAAATTAAATGAATTACTAAACGATGGAAATGGGTCTAAAATCCTTTATCTCAGAACTAGATTTAGGAGGGTTGCCCCCCGTTTAAAAAATAAATTTCAACTTAATTCATCAGTTACTTGAAAAGTGTCATAGCATATTTTTGGTTCGAAAATAACTTTAAAGAGGGTTGCCGCTTAAAAACCCCAAATTCAAATTAATTCATCAGTTAATTGAAATACATATGTATAACAATGCCAGACGATAAAAAGATTTTAGTTTAAAAATACTTTTAAATGGGTTGCCACCTGCTTGAAAAGTCGAATTTGTTTTCCTTATACACAAGCTACATAAATGCAATATCGAAATATTAGTGTCAAACGAAGGAGTTGTAAAAGAAACTTTAGGCTGATAATATTTTTAATTAGGGTTACCATCAATTTTTTTGAAGGTCATCACATCAGCAACGTTATTTCGAATTTCCAAAATGAGAAGTCAAGTTAAAGAACTCGGATTCTTGTTGAGGTTTTTGAATAGGCTTTCACCTGTTTAAAAAGTTAAATTCAATTTTGGCGTTTCAACGCCATGCGGGTTCACTAGTATTCTCTATTTAGATGAGGTTCCATATTTTGACGGGTTCTATGTGAAAAGACATATCTGAAAATAATTATTAAGAAAGGCGTATCTTAGAATTCGAATTTAAATGTTATAGTTAATAGATATTTAAAAATTCATTAAAGTAATTTTAAATCGTACCTTACAAGCCCTAAATCCAAGTTACAAAATTGCCTCAAACTCTCTGTGCCTTCAACTTTGTTTCCAATTTCAATATTTCGCTGCTCTAATTTTGCTTGACTCCAATTCCGTATTTTCTAAACCCATTTTTCGTTCTCGTTTTTTTAATTCCCTATTGTGCAGTCAAAACGTAAGTACCCAACATACTTTACTTCCTATGCAGGATGCAAAAGGATAACAAAAAACGAACATCTACACACGGAAGACGAGCACAAACAAGTAAGCTGTAAACACATAAAGCTCTACTCTGGTATTAGAAGTGGTTGAGATTGAATCGAGCGAGACAAAGTGAACTGAAGTGACGAGAGGTAAGGAAAAGCAAAAGCGACAAAGCGGATGAAAATATTTAGACAATATGTGATTTGCTGTCAACATGGAGTTGTTTGTTTGTATTGCGATTGAGTGCAGAAGTAATAAGGCAAAGCAGCAAATACATATGTATGAAAAAGGAAGACATGAATGTTTGTACATTAGACCGCACCACCTTTAAAGCAAGACCATTTCCAAAAAAAAATAAGATGTTTGTCTTGGTCTTTTACATTTTTCAGTGATGCCTCCATTCAGAATATATATATATATATTTTTTTAAGTTCTACTGAAATAAACAAAAAGCAGCTTTATCACAAGTTTAATAATTTTTGGCGAGCTTTAATTTACTGACATTACAGTGGTATCTTAGGGTGGTGGGTAAGTAATAGAACAGGGTACTTGAGGTCAATAAGTTGAGGAGCAAAAAATGTATCTTCGAAACAGGAACATAGGAATATCATACTTTAAGATCCGACTGTAAATGCCACAGGTATGACGAATAATGTAGGGGTCGTTCAGCAAAAAAAAAAAAACTTTTTTTTCGAAATTGCCTTGCAAAAATACCTACTTTAGGCTCAGGAGTATATGTGTAAAACGCAAATAGACGAAAAAATCTCCCATACAAATTGACCCGGCTAATGTACTTAATGTAATGTACTTGTGCATGTGAGTAAATTTGTGAAAGCTACAAATATGAAAACACACAAAAAAGTCATACAAGTGCGCAATCCATTGTATTTTCACGCAGCTGCTTGAAAGGATCTAAGGAGCTGCTGTCGAAAGGATATGCGAGCACACTTGTGGATTTTGTACTTTTGTGTATGCACCCCATTTACTGTTGTATTCAGTGTATTTCTGTGTGTGAGTTGGTGTGCCATTTTAAAATTCAAAATTCACAGATGTTTACCCTCTCGGCAGGAAATAAAGGTCAATTTCGTGTGAAGCAAATGTGACCGTACTACTAGTATGGGTTTAAGAGATGCTGAAGTGTTTGCAATTTGCTGCCAGCTTTCAAGTGTCAATGCATACACACATACATACTTTAGCTCAAAATTTTGAGTAAATATTATTTTGGTGAAAGGGGTTGCTAAACACACAATTGTAGGCCGAACAACAGGTGTAATGGCATTTGGTCATCAAATTCGAGTATTTGCACAACCGAGTTGATTTTTGTGTATGGACATGCTACAGATATATATATATATGTATGTATGTTGCAACGCCTTTTTTCCCCAACAAGCCATTATAACACCTACTTATTATGAGCCAGTAGAGGAAGATATCGGTATTTTCAAATATGTCGAGAGACTAGGTTTCTCGTATCATCGGGATAAGGTTGTTAATAGCAAATCTAGGTTGTAGAATAACAATATGGGTAGGTATCAACTAAAAGAGAAAATACTGAAGACATATAAAAGATTATACTTTGGGTGCGTAAGAGCGAATAATTACTGAAAATGTCATTTCAAAATTTTATCCTTGAATATTCTTGAAAATTTGCAATATTCATTTTTGACCACGTCCTCAAAAAGCGTTCCTCTAACTTTAGTTTAATACCTATTCGTCTTTGTGACCAAACAACTTTAATCTTACATATGTTTAGGAATTACATATGTGAGGACTTTGGCAAAGTGCCACTATACCCTGTGGTTTTAGTTAAGCTAGTCAAAGGTCAGACTGGTGCAAAATGGGGCCAAATAAAAACTTCACGGTGGCACACAAGTGCCCTGCTGTGTTTTGTTCCACTGTTTCCCAATAATAACTACGAAATTTGGCAAGTGCTTCATTGGCCTGAAGTGACCCGTAAACTGGCAAATAGCTATTGCTGCATCAGGCCTGTGAGCTGAAAATATTTTCGCAAAGAAAATTTTAAATTTTTTTATCCATAAAGTTTGCGCAATGTGTTGTAATTTCGCGGTACAGAACTACATGGCAAACCAATGCCATGTCTTATAAATTTCTAAACCAACCCTCTCCTGAACCAGTGTCCAAATGAAAGTGTGAATGTGATAAACAATCAATGCCTATTCCGATGTTTCACGCACGGCATTCGTATGAATCTAAGCCTTCGCACTCGCTTGTAGCGAATCGGATTAGATAGCTGCGAATAAATAGCATCCGTTGGATACCGGAGTAGGCTTGATTCGTAGCCAGTTTTTAAATGACCTTGTGTGCTGTTAGGTCAACATCAGGGTGGCTGTCAGAGTGTATATTTATGTGTTCGGCGCCGCTCTTTGTGATTTAATAAATCATAGTTAGATTGCGGTTTAATAGTCTTAGTGGTAGTTGTAAACTATAAGTTTTTACTTCGACCCCGTGGTCGTTCTTGGGCTGTACATTCTTTCAGTTGGTCTACTTTGCAAGGGGGTTAATCATGACAAAGATGCCGATCTCAAATGCCTTCGAAAACGCAGGCCTCCCCAAACCCGAGATTTATGGCATTTTTGGAATTTTAAAGGAGAGTCCCGAATTCTTTCTAATTCAATCGCTTATGGCACACATACATATTTCTGGCCTACTTCTTTCATCAATAAGTTTGTACCGACTTCAGGCATACTAGATCTCCGAGTGCTTATTTTATTAAATTAAATTATATAAACCAAGGTTCTAATGACAATATAAAATAAATAATCTTCTGCGATAAAAATATGATGCTCTCATCACACAATGCCAAATAAATTGTGCAAAAACCATTGCCAAATATCGAAATTCACATTTGTAATTTTTATCTTTATAGCTTCACATTTCCATTCCATTTAAGAGTCAAGCATTGTTTTTTTTTTGCGCCCAAAAGCGTCAGTAAGTTCAGTGTAAATAACGCACATTTACTTCATGCTGTTATACATTTGTAAGTAATAAAATTTCGTACTGTTTTTTTTTTTTTTTTGAGAAAAAAAGTCGCAAAGTGAGCTAACAATTTTTTTTTTTGTGCCAAAAAATTGTTATATAAAAATATTTTTTACTAAAATTTTTTTTTTTTTTTGTTTTATTTGCGAATTCACACAAAAGCCGAGAGACGTCTACGATGCCAGCAAACAATGAGATTTAAATATTTTTACAAAGAGACAATTGTTGTAGTAAAACGAGAAACAGTAACATGCTCGGCGGCAACGGTAACGGCAGCGGCGACACTACGACGCGCCACCAAGTCTGCTCTATGCCATGCTTGCTGTCAGCAGCAAATAAACTGGCAAATATCTTTTAAATAATAAAAAAAAAAATACATGCATACAAGCGCAGTTTATTATCGCGCAGGAATTGGCCTACTCCAACTGCCGCATGTGCAAGATCTCAAGTAGCAAAAGTAAAAGAGGAGGCTGGCTGATTGGCTGACTGGCAGACTGGCTGAGCCTGTGGCTGTGTGTATGGTATGCGGGCAGAAGTCGTGGAGCACAGTGGGCGGAAATGATACAACTTCCATTAGATGCGAGACCATTGTCATTGAAGATGTCAACGAGCTGGCGAGTAGAGAATCGGAAACGATTTCATAGAACCGGAAGCATTTTGTGATCTGAGTTGCTCTTCTTCATTATTCACTGGTTAATTCAGGGCAGACTAAGTATGTATAATTCTTAGAAGTAATTTGCTGTTTGGTATTCCGTTCAATACGGATGCTTAACAAAAGGTAACCCTAGACGAGTATATATGCCAGCACATCCTATGCGCAAAAATGGGCGCTTATTTCAAGTCCTGAATATACGAATGTCCTGTGCTAAAGAAGTAATATATTAGAGTTCTTCGAGAAATTATTAGGCAAGAAAATATCTTTAATAGGAAATTATCTTCGACAGTTGGGGATATATTTTTAATACTCCCATGTTACTCTTTTACGAATAGGCGAAAAAGAAGGTTATTTTCGTAAGTGTACTATGAGACTCCACATAGTTGGAAAGGGTTTCTCGCCCAACGCCTCAGATGAAGTGAAAACTTAACCTTTGAAGGCCTTAGAAGAACTGCTCTTACTTTTCCTCAAAGTTTATCCGCCAGTGACCTTGATTGGTACCAAAGAAGCCGAGACGAAAGTAGGCAGTTTTGGCATGGCTGTCTTGTTTCGTCTGTGCCTTCGTTTGATCGGCAAAAAGTCAAAGCATCTAATTTCGTCCGGATTGCTGTGGTGCCAGAGAGAGAAGCATCTTCTCGAGTGCCGCAGCCACTTTTAAAGAGGGGATCGAAATATGCAGTAAGCCACTTTTCTTATCTTGCATTTCTTACCAGCATATCCTTCAAAGGGACATCGAACTTAAATAGTACCTTGCTGTAACAACTCGACACCTCAGCGTTTTGTAGGACTACTTGCTTGTAGGGCAACTAGCGGTGTCTATGAAGGACATTTCGTTGTGTCTCTTTTAGTGGATTAGCAGCAAGGGGAGTGTCAATATAAGTGGATGTGCTATAACTTCCTGGATCTCGATCTGGTGGAAGACTCTCCTACTTAATATACAGTACCAAATTACTGCTACTTTTCCTCCACTTCTAAGAATATAACACTTGAAGCTACCGCAGGCAGATTTTGTGTAGAGACCTGTTTCCTGACTCAAATCTCTACTGCCGAT